GTTGTAAACTGATGTTTTCAATTCCAGTGACTTAGAATTAACTTCTAACTGTGAGATCTAAACTAGCTGCAGTCTTTTATAATCTCATGCTTTAAAGCTATAATGGCTTTTTTCATCTGCTGTTAAAGAAGAAATTATATTTTACTAGGAGATGGTAAAGGTAAACCACAGAAAAAAGTATACTTCAAACTGCTTAAATATGATTATTTTTGTTCCGTGTGATTTCACTCAGTGATATAAAGGAGAGAGCCCAGCTAGCTCATTGGAATGGGAATGTGCCGGCGAGTACAGAGAAGTACACGTTGTTTGCCAGTGCTTAAGGAGCTTACATTTAAAAAATAAAAAATAAAAAAAAAATAAATAAATAAATAAAAAAAGGAGAAACATATCAAAAAATGTAGAAAAAAAAAAAATTCACAAGAAGCAGTTCAAACATCTACCAAAGGCAACACTTTGTGCTGTGTACTTTTTACACATTTCACACACACAAAAATAATCTTCTTTGGAAGCACATCCTCTTCCAAGCCATGACAAAGGGCTGCAACCTCCCCAAAAGGCATTGCTCGGTCAAGCACAGCGCAGCATCTACCTTGTGAGGGTTTAGACTGGTCCAAAGCTGTTCCCAAGATTTCTTCAACAAGTGTTATTTTAAAATTGCTGACCCATAGCTCTCCTGATATGTTACAACCCTATTTTGACCCCAGCATCCCACCTGGGTTTCCTGTCAGATTGGAAGCACCCCAAAGCCTTAGGGCCAGCACCACTTTCACCACTCCGACTGGCAGAAGTAAATCCCTGGAGCTGGGCTTTGAAATGCAAACACGACGTGTGCTGGGGCTCGCAGGCCTGATGCCACGTCTTCAGGAACGAGGTTAAAGCTGTGAACTCAGATCTGAACCTGGACCTTGCGTTTAGATCCAAGGGTTTGGGTTGGGCCCCATCTCTAGTAAAAAAGGATAAAAAGAGATGAAAAGATAATTGCAGAAACTTAAAAGCCAATGCTGCATTCTTCTAAAATTACAAATTAAGCTATAAGCAATTCCAAACTATGCTGTTTTTATTAAAAATGACTTAATAATCTAATCTTCCTTTCTTTTCTTTTCTTTTGGAATTTATCATATATCCTAGTAATCGCACATAGAAATTACACAACACTACGCTGGATACTCCTGACAATATAAACACAATTGTTTATCCAGAAGCATTATAGGTTCATGCAAAAATATGGCATTTAAAGCTTGTGGTCAGATCAAGAAACCACAAGTATAATTGTTTGTTTATCCAGCCAAGCATTACTCTGTCGTGTAAGTTTATGGGGGTTTGGTCTTTATTTATTTATTTCTCAACCGTTTTAAAATTAAAGTTATGGAGTGAAAATAAATGATTAAAGGCAAACAGCTCATGCCTGCGCACACGGAGGAACATTTTTAATATGAAAATCGTGCCTTTGCCATAGCTTGTGCTGCTCCGTTTCGTGCTTCCATAGGAGCTGGGTGATAACGGGGCCCTTTGGTGGAAGTTCTACATATTTTCTCCTCAGTTCGGGGCAGCTGGTTTCTTTCCTCTCGGAGGAGAGAGCTGAAGTGTATTTATCACTCCAGCAGTGACTCAAAACAAACAGGAAGTCTTCATCAGCAGACTCCTGGGCAAGGCAGATACTAAGGTACTGGCAGAAAGGAAACAGAGGCTTTCGGCCGTGGGAGTCAGACACACAGCGTACACTGCAGCTACAGCAGATAACCAGATTAGAGATCCACCAAATTATTCTTAAAGTCATAAAAAACTATGTATAAAAATAAAGGGCATCCCGCGCTGGTGGCGGGGTGAGGAGAGCCGCGGGAGGCTGTGCTTTGATGCTGCTCCTCTACGCCCCAGCCAGGCTTGCTTCTCAAGCGGGGGCTGCCAGCAGGGCTGGCCCTCTGGCCATGACCTGGGGGGGAAAGAAAGGAAAAATAACAAGGCTTACCTAATGGTTTTAACTACTGAGATGGTTATTAATATTCACTGCTGGTTTTTAGAAAGGTGTCTGAAAACAGGCTAATAAATGGCCCGGCAGCGGGTGACTCCTCCTGCATTGACTGGAGACATTCTGACATAGGAGCTGCTCTGCTGTTGTTTCTTTAAACTTTCTTTCCCCGCTTGTGTTATTAAACATTAAAATACTTCAGTTCGTGGTAACAACAATAGAAAATGAAGCACAAGACCCAGGCTGATAGCAACTACAGGCCTCATTCGTGCACGCCTGCTGGAGACATCTCAGTAGCAGCAGTTTTCCTCACGCTGGGCAGTGGTGCTGAGAGCTCTGCCATGGTGCTGAAGGACGCGTTGGCTCTCATACGAGCACCATGGTTCGGGTCACACTCACGGTCTCGGCCAATCTGTCAGATCAAGGACTCTTGCTGAAAATTGGGAGTGTTGGGAAGAGCCATTATCTGCTTCCCCTGCTCTCGCTGCTGCTCCCCAGGCATCTGCTGTTTATTGCGCCCCAAGACAGGGCACGGTGATACCTTCAGCTCTGACCCGCTGCAGGCTTATCTCTGGGGCCGGCAGGAAACGGCAGAGGCCTGCGGTGTTTGCTGGTTAGAAGGAGACTTTCTGCACCTTTAAATGGGCGACAGCCTTCTGTGGCTCTTGGCCAGCCCCAAAAAGCTGCAGTGCTGGGAGCCTACCACACCAGGCAGCCTGCCCTGTGGAGAGAGATGCCCTGGAGGAGCATGGCAGGGCGAGTCCCACAGTTTGGTATGTCCAGGCTGGACTTGGTTTGAGCTGTCACTACCAGCACCCCGAAGCAGCAGACGTCACGCCCTTATCATGTAGCTGCACCCTGTGACACCTAACCTCAACGTCTCACCACAGAAATCCAGCCTGCTATTATTAAGGATGGCTGGCTTGGCTGCGAACTGAAGGTGCATAGGGCTGATATAGGGAGCACCAGATACTCACATCCTCACCAACAGTTAGAGGGGCACTGCAAACACTGACCGGCCACAGACATGACAGCTTGACATCACCATGTCACCATGGCCTGAGACATCCCAGACAGAAGAGGCATTAGCGGTGGAAGGACCATTTTAAAAGACTGAGTGTTTCATACTGACCCCTGTGCAATCTCCATGGGACTGCCCTACAGAAAGCTGGCTAAGGTCTCTGTCAGAGAGATGACTACCAAAACCGCTGGGTCAGGATTCTTTTTTTTTTTTTTTTTAAGCATCTGGCAAAATGCATCACCACCCTATTGACTCACAGATGTGTCAAGGCGTAAAGTCAAGCTAGGTGGGTAATTCTGGTAATTCTGGAGAATTTCTCTAGGGATCAGACTGTCTGCATCCTCCTAAGGAACAGTCTGGTCTAGCCGGCATCTTGGCCAGTGCCAAGGAAGAGAAACCTGTTGTAGGTCGGCTGGTGTGCAGTGCCCATCCCTTTTGCTGTGGGACATGACACAGCAGAAGACTTCCTCCCTCCTCCCAGAAGGGTCAGCTGGAAAATGAGTCAGAACTAGGCCCTCAACTGTAGCCCAGTTGCACAGAAGGCAATATCCTTTCATGTTTGTGTCAAAAACTTGAAGCCTTGGTCTGGAGATGGCAACTTTGCTTACCAGATGAGCCCTTTGGCTATTCACCCGCTCAAAAGCAACTTCAGTGACACACTCCATTTTATATTTTGCCAGCTGAAGATCTGAAAGTATGAGAGAATTAGAAGAAGCACAGCACTGGAGAGTTGATTTGCAGCCACAGGGAGCAAGTGGAATAGCTGAGAGCTGAGTAGAGATCTGTAACTCATGCTCAATGCTACATCTACCTACCTCCTCAGACCTCAGAAATGTTCAAGCAAATTAGCCAGCTCATGGTAAATACTGACTGCTGTGCCTAAAGGTTAGCTTTGAAAGCTATGCTGGAGCAGTCTTTGGGCTGCTCTGGCTAGCTTGTACTAATCTTGAATTTACCATCTGCAAGCCAAGTAAAGCTAGAGTGAAACATATTTCCACCACATGTCTTTCCATCCCTTTCTTTGCCTCTGGCACAGGCTTTACAACCAGGGCTGTGGAGAGCAGTTAGTGTGCGATGCTGGGAGGATGCTGGGAGAATGCTGAGCCAGGGGTATGACCCTCTGCACGGCACCAGAGAAACCCAGCAAGGCAGAGACCCCACTCCTGAAGTTAAAGAAAGGAACTGTCGTCTCAGTATTTGATCTTCAACCAGCTGCATTCAAAATGTTGGATAGCACAGGTCTTTTGAAGCTGCTCTCCAAGTGATAGAGGATTACTGGCTTTGGTGATGAAGTGCACAAGACAGGATTGGTTGACTGAAGGAATTTTTTTTTCCCTTGGCATTGCTCTGTGCCATCTTATTTGATTACATTATTTCTTCCTCTCAAATGTGTATTTTGCTTCTCCTAATCTTTGAACAACTTTGTGCTGCAACCCCAAGGTCTGCACATCAGCATTTTGCACCCTGTCCAGGATTCAGGCTGTGTGCCATGTGCCATGCTTTACCACATGGCCGTGTGCCATGCTTTACCACAACCAACCCAACATGCCATCCTTCCTACAGACCTGACAACAGGCCAGAACGAGGGCTACGGCTTGGGTGTCCCCAGAGCAACATAACACGTGCACGCTCTCCCGTGGGAGGTGGCACGCAAGCAAAGCACTTGAAATTACACATGTAGCTGATTTTTATCACAATTCATTTTAAAAACCAAGAGCCACATTTTGCAAGCTGGTATTCACAAGTAATATATAAATCCTTATTCTTAAGGAGGGTCAGAAACCAAATTGGAAGCATTGAGGAGAACTTATGTGGAATCAAAGAGAAGAGGATGAAAGCAGAGAAAAATGTTGTGCATTCAACTCTTAAGTCCTGCTCAACTCCGTGATGACAAACAAACAAACAAAACCCGTGTCTCTTTTTCTCAGCTCAGTGATTACAGCAAACCCACAGTGCCAGCTTCAGACTGGCAAGGCAACTAGCACTGCTCACAAAAACAAATTCAACGGATGATTTTTTCTTTGTATCAATTGATTTAATTATAAGGGTCTTCCACATTCTCACCTATTTCCTTCCCATCAGTCAAGGTATATTTCTTTTTCCCCTGCTGTTGTTTCAGACATATGAAAAAATGAGGAATGAAGGGGAAAATCATGAAGGTATACTGCACACACAGAAGAACTGTGAAAACTCTTTTCTTTTAAAGTCACTAATTCAATAGCACATGCAAAAACGCTACTCAGGAAATCCACGTTGCCACAGTAATTCTGATCTGTCTCAGAGCTTCCACCCAGGAAAGGTGTCTCTGATGTTACCTAGGAGTCATCCAAACAAAATATTTCCAAAAGAAGCACTTGGCACCCCCTTTCTAATTCAACTTTTCAGCTGGCAGTAAGAAATAAAATGAAAATTAAAAAAATATATACCAAAAATAAAAAATAAAAAGGATTTATTTATGATTTATTTATTAGGTAAGAGATGAACTCCCAGGACATGTTAGTGCCTAGACCCAGCCTGGCTGCACTACTATTCCAGGCTCATCGGCACATCAAGAATACTAATTTAGACTTAGGGCATTAGGGAAAACTCTCCTGTTTTAAACACGGAAAGCTGTCATTTAGTTATTTCTTGAACAAATACACTTCAAACAATGCGAAGGAAACGGCACTTCCCATTTATACGAGTTTACCAACAACAATCACGATGAAAAGGACAAAGACTATTCCAGGTTTATAATGGCTGTTGGTATAACATGCTGTCCCGTGCAGCAGGGCGTGTTGCAAGGTCTGAGAAACTTCTTAAAGTTCTCAGAAATCTTCAGCCAGGACCGCTGCCCATCGGCATTACAAATGCAGTAGGAGATCCTCCTGTTCTGAAAAAGCATTCATTAGGGCGGCTCTGCCTTTGAGATACCCTCATTAGGAATTAGTTGACTTACAAAAGCAGGTTCTGAGCTCATTTGTACCAGCACAACAAAGAAATATCACTCCTTAAAAGCAACAGGTTACTCTGTTTTGGGGATGGGTTTTGAAAAGAGCAGAGCCTGCACTAGAAAGTATAACAAGCAATTGTTGTTCTCTGTCCAACCTATGTAAATCAGGAGTAAACATAGTGATGTTAGCAGGGTCGTGCTGGTGGAGCCCATCAGCAGAGCTTGGTAGGGGTAACAACGACCACAGGGAGATAAGATAAGGCTGTAAAGGTTGGGAAAAGAAATATCAGAATTACCAGAGCATTTAGAGCCAACTGAGACAGTTTTCCCACTCTCTTCTAGGAAAAAACCTGATCCTTTGCACTTCACCCTGAGGGAGGAAAATAATCATTAGTGTTACATTATAGAAATAGGTAAAATAATTGTCTAAGATGCAGACACCCAAACCAAGTAAGAATATGTGTGCACAGCTGTAATTTTATCCATTGTGACATAACCTACCCTTACTATTATCCTCTCCCATTAGGTCATTTCTAAAATTTAGCTCTCTGTGAACTGGGACCCTGCTATTCTGCTCCTATTTTTGCCACTATAAATACAAGAAACGACTTGGCTGCGTGGCATGCTCTCCTTCAAAGCTGTAGGTTAAACAAAACTTTAACTGTTTCAGATAAAGACAAGCAGAAGGTGTTTTTAAAAACATCCCAAGCGAAGGAGTGCATTTCCTGCTTCCCGAATTCAACCTACGGCATCAGACATCTGTAACTCTGTTTACATTCCAGCCCTTCACAACTTAATACTGCTCGGAGCATCAATAATATAGGGCACATTTCTGACTGTTCTTTAGATATTTTTTTATCTCCATGGGACTTCCTGGTTTGGGATTTTGTAGTTTACAGTTTCTCACTAATAGTAACTAGCTGCAGCATTTGGCCTTAAGAGTTTACAAATTATTTAAGCAGATATAGGCAGCCTATTTTAATTACAGTAAAGAGTCCTGTAGAGGGCTCGTCTGTTTTTCCCCCTCCAACTATATCAGTTGGCTTAATAAAGATATTACCACTCCCTATAAACCCAGCTGTAATCAAGTCCTCAGATATGCTAGCATTTGTTAATGTATTCTTGCAGCTTTAAAAATATACATCCTATCTCCAAGTAAATAGATGTCCATTGCTTTAACGACAGCTGTGTGAGCTTTCTGTGGCACACACACATTTTATTTGGTGCATGTGTGTGTGAATGCACATTCCAATACACCTAAGCAAATTTCTCACCCTCCTCAGACCAAGGATCGTCTGCTCTTTTCTGTGTATTAGAGCATCCCATTTAACTGTACAGGCTCTGCTCTTAGCACAAGCTCCCCTTTCCTGGAGGGATGTCCAGCACAGGCTTTCCTCTCCCCCACCTACAGAGGGCTGCATTTTTACAGGCAAATTCAGCATCCAGCATAATGTACCATGTCACACCTTCATCTCTGGTGTCCTCTCTGTCCTCTTCTTCAGATCTCTTCTTCAGATTTCTAACATGCTGTTGCTGAATGCACTTTCTGACCACCATCTATATAACTTTCCACTACATGCTTCTAAAAAATTGCATTATTATGATTTGGATTACCTAGACTGTTGCTGCTCTCCTTGTTTCTTTGAAATCTGCATTCAAAGCCAAGGTGAGACACCAAGCCTGCAGTTTGCTTCTTGCACAGGGCTTCTTTCCTCTATAACATATCAAATTAGTACCTGAACATCACCTACCAAATCAACCGTGCATATTCACAACTCTTCTAACATTTGCGAGTAGCATTACTACAAAGGAAAGCTGGAGACAGCTTGATTAAGCAACTTGCCCAAGGTCATACAGGAAGTTGTAGAAGAGTTGAAAACAAAAGCCAGATCTTCTTAGCTCCTGTCCAACCCTCTCTGGAATGAAAAGGCCAAACTGCTCTGTGGAAATATTAGCCGAGTCATAGATCTCATTGTATAAATTTCATAATGAATTCACGACTTAGCAAAGAAAATAACACAGCGCTCCCAGCGCTGCTTTCCAAGGAAAAACTGCAACGGTGCTGCAGCAGCTGGGAAGCGTTCCCTGGGCTGGGAGCAGCGCTGGCCACGGCTGGAGTCACTCGGGAGCTGGTATGAGATTGTTTAGGATGGCAAAAGGAGCATCCCGAGTGCAACAAAGGCAGTATTTGTGTCTGCCCTCCTCCTGGTCTGCGTGGCTCTCAGTGATAGCCATGGGATTAAACAATAGTCCTGGCCCCTTGGCTGCAGACAGTTTGCTGCAGAGGCCCAATTAAGTTGTTGAAAGCCTAAACACGGGCACAGGAATCTGCTAATGTGGTTGGGCACGCACAATAAGGCCTCGTTCTGGCTCTGCTCATGCGCACAGAGCACCACCTTGCCGGGAGAAGAGCCCCCCATTACCACCAAGGCTCTTCCCACCGAGAAGTCCTGCTCAGGCTCAAGCCATGCACATTCCTACCTGTGGTGGGGAGGACTTCTGGATTTGCATGGGCATGGAGTTGAGGGGAGTTGGGTGGTCTTGGGCTCGCTGCCACCAGAGATGCACCCTCAGTGGCAGGCCAGCTCCATCATCGCTGATCATTGCCATTGCTGGCCTCATATTGAGTGGGAGCAAGGACTGCGGGGGCTCTGAGGAGTGACCCTGCAACAGGGGTCTGCCCACACCCTCCACGTGGATGCTGGGGATGAGCTTGAGATGCCTGCAAGTTTATCTTCTATGGGAGCCACATAAAAGCATACGTGCATATCCACACATTTTCGCCTGTACACAAGCAAACAGTTACTAAAGAGAGATCCCCCTGCCCAAACCTCGGCCAGGTTCAAGCCTCCCTAACATAAACACTTCCAGCAGCAAATGCAGCCTCAATAGCAATGCCAAGAGCAGATAGAGGCTCCCACATTGTCTCGGTACACAGGATGCCGGCTTGACATCATTTAGCGAAGACAATGCTCGCCCTCTTTCTTTTGGAATCACGTAAAAAACTTGGCCGAGTATGAAACGACTTCAAAGACACATTTCTGTGCCAGCCAGGATGCATCAAAGTTGGGAAAGCAACGACCCAATTCACCTGATCGGGGTAGCTGATAGAGGAGCGCGGGGAAGCTGCTTTTATCGCTGTACCTTCCCGGCGCTTCCTTCCTGCCCCGATGCTATTTCAGCCCTGCGCCCACCTCCGCGAGACCTGCCGGCCCCCTCCGGCAGGACGCGGGAGGAAAAAGCAAAGGGAAGCCCTAAATAAAGGAGGCCCGTGAGTTTCTGTGCAGTTACCGGGCAGTCACATCCTTCTGCTTTCCCCTGAAAAATCAAGCATCACCTTATCGTTTCCTCACCAAGATTAACTCCTGCTTCCTGAGGAGTATTGCTGAGGTAGAAAGCAGAGGTGGCAAATAAAAAATAAAAAAATAAAAATAAAAAAGAAAAAGGAGGGGGGGGGGGGGCTGAGAAGCCCAATCTGTCAAGCTCCGTTTTAGAAGAAAGGAAAACTGAAAAGTGAACGTATTTAACATGAGCTATTTCCTGCACTCAGGAGGGAAGAAAGCATGCTCCTAACTGTGTGCATGAGGAGATCTGCACTCGTGTTATCTCTGACCTGCAGCTTAGCCCTTGTGTCTCAGCTGCCAAAAAGCTCCCATTCAACGTTATGCTGAGTTCATCAATGCTCCACGTGTCAGGATCCTAACAGGAAAAAGCAGGACAGACAGTCACTCTATTCAACTGCCTGGGGACCCCATGACAACTAAAATCCCCTTGCAGACCGTCCATATCAACCTACGGCAGGTCAGAGCGCGTAACCCCTCCAGAACCGCAAGCCCGGGCCCACACCCTTTCCCCTTGTCAACATTGTCACTTTAAACAGAACATCTCGCCTTATCGCCCAACCTGGAGTAAGGATGACAATTAAGATGGATTGCAAAGCCTGCCTGCGCTTTACAATTAACAATAACTTGGCAGCGGGTCCCACGCAACTGTTGGGTGGTATGGCAAGAACTTTATCCCTGCTTAGTATTGCATTAGCATATTTAGTAGGCTGCAAGACATAATTCCTCAGATATGAACATATTTTGTCTTTTCAAAAAATCTGCAATTAAGCCATAACGTGCAGGCAGTGTGCAGCCGGCAGGAAACTTTGCAAACCCGCTGTTATTAGGGGGACCGTGCAAAAATGGCCCCTTTTGACCTTATGTCAATTATCTATTTAATAAGGAATCTATTCAATTAAAAAAAAAAATGTCTTAGCATGGTCTTTGCTGGGAAGCAACAATATTCCAGAGACTACAGCTGATATTCACTCGGCATCCACTCTGTTAACACCACTGTGCCTAAACAGGTTGGGGGTTATTCAAAAGCAGGGCTGGGGCATTTTGTTGATGTTGTTTTAATTTTTGGCTAGAAAAGCAGAATGCCTCCCTGCTGCCAGTCATTTTAAAACTTTATGTTTCAATAATTGTCAGCGTGGAAGAAATAAACCCCGGCAAGCAGCATCTTCCCCTGTATGTCGCACCTCCTTTTTTCTCTCTGACTGTCATGTTTACAGGTAAATTAACAGCCCTCCTAAATTAATTAAACGCGTTGGAGGAGCAGCTATTTAGCACGGCCTGACTTCATCGATTTCCTAACGCAGCACAAAACCCCCCTCAGCCCTCCAAAGCTTTTTAAGCATGTTTACGGTGTACATTTGTCTACAAAACCTGATCAGGTTGGGGGGGGGGAGGGAGGAGGGCAAAGATCTTCCTCCGATAACCCGGGCATTGTCCCCCGTGACATCTGTGCCGCTGGTGGACAGGATATCCTGCCAAATGGGAGAAGACAACTGCGTGACCCACCTTGGGCGAGAGGCACCGCGCTCTGATTCGAGCACAGCGGGAGCGGGCGCTGCCGCTCCCCGCAGCCCCGGCACGCACAAAGAGCAGCCCCCGCCCCGGCAAGAGCAGGGGGAGGTGAAAAGAAAGGGGAATACACGCTAAAAAACAAACAAACAAATAAATAAATAAATAAAGCAGAGGTTTAGGTGAGTAGCTCGTATTCGATAAGGGAAAGCAGATGAGAGCAACAAATGCAATTCAGCACACAAAGTCTTTCTTCATAAGACCGGCGGAGGAGCGGATTAAACCACCTGGCAATCTTGGCAAGAAAAAAAGAAAATCTCAGGCGGTGACAAAACAAAACAGGTGTAACAGGTATAAAACTTTTGCTCTCCAGTAATGCCCCTCTCTTCCCTGGAATGCTTTGACAGGTGCAGAAGTTCAAGTTACAGCGTGGAAGTGGCAAATAAATACACAGCATTAGTGTCTGACGTGCTCGCCGAGCAACCGGGGATGTTAATAACTGGCAAGGTACACTAATCTCTGATTGCAACATTTGGTTTACCTTAATCTGGAGGGACAGCTGTATTAAAGAGGGAATTATACTAATCAGTTCAAGGCCCTTGCATATAAAACTTCCCATTAGGCTTAAAGTACAACAGCTTACGCTCATTCTCTAGGAGCCTTACATCTGGTTCTGAATAAGGCTGGCTCTCATTTGCAAGGTACAAACCGAAAACAAGGGAGGGGGGAGCTGACAGTTGCTGGAGGATGGTTGATAGAAGAACAAGCTACTAATTCTTTGAAATTTTTTACAGCACGAAACTCGCTGTAAGGCATCTTAACGCTAAAAAAACAGGCATGTGTTATCAACCCTAGGCCATTTTTTCCTGTTACCGGAGGTGACCAACATAAAATAAAATTGATGATGTCAGTCAAAAACAGCTAAGCACAAAGCTTGGCTTTGTTATCTTAAGTCAGAAGGTATGATAGGCCATGCCATATGGCTCTAATCCTCCTATATCTTCCATCACCTAACAGGCAACCTTCATGTAGCATGACCTTATTTGGCTGGTCTCAGGTTAGGGCTGCCCAAAGGGGATTTTTCTGTTTCTGCTATATCCAAAGGTTTATGTTGATTTTTTTTTTTTTTTTTTTTGAGCCCTGCAAACTATAAATCCGACTGATTACTCTGCACTCTTTTGCTTGACTGAGCCTTTACAATCAGACATCCCCGTTAACAATAAGCTCCTAATGAATCAAACATCTATGGCATTAGTTTCACCTAGCTGCCTCTTTCCCATGCACTGCAGCTCTTTGTCAGACCTGGCTTGATGAGAAAAGCTAGTGACACTTGGTGCACCTATTGATAAACAATTCAGTAATGAGGGGCATAACAAAAATTACCTAAAACAACCTGATTAAAAATGACAGGCAAAGGGTACTACAGAGCTCTGCAGTTAAGGTAACTCTCGTATGTCGGGAGGGATGGAAAAAATAACGAGGTGCAACACACTTTTCTTTAAAATTTACAACTTTACACTCACATTTTGGATTTTTTTTTCCCTTTTTCTTTTTTTTTTTTTTTTTGGGGGGGGGGGGAGGCATTTTAACTAGGAATTTAATCAGTGTTAAATGGAAAACGTTCCATCATACTCTATAAGAGATTCATCTTTTTTTCAGAAAATTTGAAACTCAGTAAGCTATTTCTCTCTCCTTTTTGATGAACGACATTAATAGTAAAAAATGCTTTGCTATCTGTAATTCAACTTTCTATCTATAGTAAATTCCTATATTATACCCCAGTACTTTACTTCCTTTGTTTAAATATTGGTTTTGTTGCTTAAAAGCACATGTGGGCTGTAAACAAAGGATAAATAAGCTGTGAAAATAAAAGCAGGCTCCAAGGAATAAATAAGAACAAAATGGAAAAGACTGCACCGTGCTCCTCTGCGATGAACACAGGGATCTCTTTGTGAGCAGGAAAAAATGTGTTAAAAGGGCACATACTGCAACTCTGAGGCAAACTTTGAAATGGAAGTGTGGAAGCATAAGAGCATTTGATTCAAAATCAGCAATGTGTGGGTTTGCATTTGTGTAGCAGCATGTTGGGAGGGTTTCAATCAGTGCACAGATGCACTTGAAAATCAAATATGGACATGGGGAATGTTTTTGGATATAGCAAATGAGGACTGATGACATGTTTACACTTTGCACATGGATCCAGTACAAAACCATACCCTGCAAAGAAACAATAACCACCATTTGCTGCTTTTCAGGGCTGTAACAAAATGGTGGCAGAGGAAGGGAATATGAGTGTGCGGCTGTCCCCACCTGGGAGGGACGGCACCGTCTCGCTGCTCAGGGGCTCATTCTGCTCACGGCTCGCTTGGGAAAGGGACCTCGTAACAAATACTGCAAAAAATAATAAAATAAAAAATAAAAGACCTGGTGGTTTGCAAAACAGCAGAGCAAGAGGAGAAGGAGAGGAAAGGCAAATTTCAATCATCATTAATGTCTTTCTTTGTTGTCAAAATATTTTCTTTACAGAAGAATTAAAATTATAGTTGGAATGCCACTGGAATGGAAGAGGGAATAAATGAAAGCAAATGCACTTTCATAATCTCCCATGGAAAAGCTGCAATTTTGACATTATTTCAGTATCTGCCTCTCTATATCCTTAAAGGAGAAATTCCTGGCTTATAAATAATGTATCCCGAGCTATGCTGAGTTGTTAATGAAAGTTTATCGAGATGGCGAAACTTTTTTAGAAGGCAATAGTAGTTGCAAGCGATTGCATCTGACCAGACTATAATGTATCCCTCTGGAAGGCAGCTCCAATTCACAGTATGAAGTAATCTTTTGTGAATGTTTTCCAAACTGTGATGCATACTTTACATTTTAAAGGAAGAGGCAAAAGTTAGCTATCTGTGAAGAAAGGGGAAAAACATCTGTTCCACACTTTCTGCTAATCAGACCTTAAGGAAACGCACATGAATTAATATTCCACATTTTAAACTTTTATGATTAGTCCATTTCAAAGTTTTTAAAGGGTATCGTTACAGTTCAAATAGTACTTCAGACATTTGACTTCTGCCACTGATTATTAATAATAATCATCCCATTTTCCCTTACACTTTTCAGCATGAATTCAGAATGTCAAAGCTCATTTTCTCATCAGCCTCAGACGCAGTTAAAGCACTGCAAACTCGAGTTCTCCTCCCAGGCACCTCGGTTTTACAATGGCGTGGGGTTAGGGCCCAGCTTATGCTGGTGTAAGTGGGTCCAGATCCTTCTGAATCTGGTGACACAGGCTGTGGACACTTGGATTTTTGCTGTCATACCCGAATCCCTGAGTTTCTTGGCCCTGTCTCTGGCACATGTCCAGCCAAAAGTCCATGTGATTCCTGTGCCTGGTTGGCATCTTGGATAGTAACAAAAGCCTGCATGAAATTATCTAAACACAGTCAAACCGTGGACTTCATGAGACACTTCTGTGTGTACTTAGCAAGTAAGATGCTCAAAACTGATAACTTAAATTTCTCTTTGCATGTTGCTACAGAAAGGTTTGATTTGCTTTTGCAATGGTGCCACTTTGCACTGTGCCACCCCAGCTGAGGCCCTGAAACCAGAGGGCTTGGAGCTCCAGAGCAGTTCCCTGCTCCATGCACGGCAATGCCACTCACTGGAGCAAGGTACTCCGTGCATACCACTGCATAAATAACTGGGAAATATGGCTCAGGCACTACTTTAAAAAATAAAAATAAAATTAAAAAATTGTTTTCTGCTTTATTTCCAAATGCATGCTCTAAGCTGTTAATTGCTTATGCAACAAAGCCAAAGTTCTGGTCAGAGACAATCTTTGTTTCTCTGCAGTTGTGCTGAAGGTTATGCTTGCTGTAGGAAGTGCGAGTGTGTTACATCGGTGCGTGCCTCTCCTGCATGCCAGCACCAGAAAATCAGCTTCTGAGCCACAGAAATCAGCTCCTTACTGGCAGGCGGGTGGGAAAGCAGCCCCACAGCTTCAAAAGTTACCCCTTAGTCTACCTTCAACAGAAGTCTGTGATCACAGGTATGATAAAGGCTGCATGTTTCTTCAGCCCTGTTCTCCAAACTTCTCTCTTCTGAACACATCCTCCTTCAGCTAAGGATTTATCACACAGGCAAAGCAAACACCACCAAGCAGTGCTTCCTTGCACTGTGGGGCATTGCTTATCAAAGTTCAGGGAGAGATACCTTGCTTGTGGCTTGCTGCTTAGTTCACTTCTACCATGTGCCATGTTATCTTGTCCAGTGTATGCACATCCAACAGCAAAAGGAAGAACATGTTTAGCATCCAAGCATGTATGCTGCATAATAAAGGTTATAAGAAATTATTCTTATGGAATGCCATCTGGCTTATAAAATCCTGGTACCTCTATTTAGGAAAGCCAAATGGAATTCTGACTTGTTTCCATGATTTTCCTTTCAAGCAGAGTAAAGCATTTCCATTTATTTTTCAGATAATGAAAAGTGTCGTTTCCTTTAAAGAGCCAACAATAAATACAGACGTGCTTTGGGAGCCTGTTTATTTACCATCTTTTCTTTTACTCAAGAGAGGAAGAGTCCAGTTAAGATCGTTGTGATTTCCAGATGATAGAGATCACCATTGTTCCACTGATGTCACCTACGTGAGGGTGAGCAGAAAGTAACATGGGTTACTCTTCCACTCATATCCAGAGCCAGCATCAACACCATGAAGTTTAAAGTGGTGGGTACCAAGGGTGCCTCATGTATGACATGAGGATTTTGCACTCCTAAGTCATGATAGGATGACATAGATTGCGATAACACATAATAACATGTAGAATAGCACTAACACCTTCCCTGCATTTTGAGGCACACAACAACCCACTCAGAGTAAAGCCGTAGCTGTCATCTCATCCTTTGGCCCACCTCTTGCTCTGTACCTGGTACAGCAGAGAAAACTGCCTTTATTTAAGAGAGGCAGGCAAACACTCAGGCTGGGGAGGCATTAAATGCTCGATTGTATGTCTCGGTGGCACTGGGCACAACCGAGGTGCCTCACCACTTTGCCAGGACTAAGTGTTTCGTCTCTATTGTCCTTCACCCAACAGCCACCTTAGCACTGCAGTTTAATATTCATGTCATCACCATTGCTAACTGTTAAAATCTGGATGATATAAATAATGAATTAATATGTATGTGCAGATCTCTATTTTGCCCAATATTTCTTACGCTTTTTTTATTGGAGTCTCAGCATTCTGAAGGCAAATAGAAATGATTCTTCCCCTTTCAGCTTGCCTTTGCTGTCATTGCAGCGAATTAGTGGCTCCACTTCAGTCGCTGTAGTTATTGCAGAAGAAAGGGAACTTTGCTTGGGCACACCAAAATGGAGCACTGGCACCAGCCAACATACACAGACTCACCAACAGGTGTGAGCATGGTCTGGTTTTATCTGTATCCCTAATTGAGGGATAGTGGCTTTACTGGTCAGGGCTGTCCTTACACCTGCAGAGCCTCCAAAGCCTTCAGTGGTCTATGACATACAGGACATGGCACAGGCCAGCAAAGTTAGGAGACTAGCTGAAATTAGAGCCATCTTAATGAACTTACTGTATAGGCACTCATAAGAAAAAAAAATCTCCAAAAGTTCACGATTCAGCTTTAGCAGGTGTTTGCCTTTGAAAAGCAAAGCTTGGGTCTACACGCTCGCTGGGTAGAAACAAGCTCAGCTCCGTTTGCCTCGACAGAGCCAATGCCATTTACATTGGCAGTAAATCTGGCCCTAGCTCTGCGTTTTGGGAGGGAATCTTGAAAAACAACCTGCACCAAGCTGTTCCTTTTTTCCTGTTTTTGAAAACTTCATTGGAATAGAAGTTTTTAACCCAAATTCCACAGTCAGCCTTAGTCTGAAATAAAAAGGAAAATATATCAGCTAAGGCTCAATTCTCAGACTTAGTTTAAAAAATATTTGAGGTCAATGAAACCTGAAATAGGCCACTAATATTAATTACGCCTAGAGTAAGATTTTTCAAAACTATTTTTGAGCTGGAAGATGACGAGGAATGCCTGGTAAGTTTTCAAAATCACTTACGATGTGGCTCTCCAGAGCCATAGTACAACCAAAGATGTGTTCAAAGGGTATTCCTACCACCTCTGATAGTTATCAGATAAAACATCTTTTGCCGAGCATATCTTCAGCTCCACCATTAATGGTGGAGCTATGTGCATTTTTTTATTACTTGAAGATCTGGTCTGGTTAAGTTAAAAAGCCAATTAATAAAGAAGAATTTAAGTAACTGTAAGCCATATGCTCAGTATGTTCTCTGTCCCCAGTGAGAACAGGTGACTTTTACAATGAGGCTGCCTATACCAACACTTGCTCAGCCTTGAGAAGTGCCACAATTTTGAAAGATTTCAATGAAAAGTGGTCATTAATAAGTTAGGTGCCTTTCCTCAAAGTAACATCTTATTTAGATCAGGAGATCATTTTCCCCTCCTGCTCTTAAAAAACATTTTGCTATTCATTCAGTGTGCCCTATTAGCAGAAAATAGAGAAAGTTCTGATGCATCATAGCATGCATCTGAAATTCTAATTCTAATTAACAAGAAGTCATCTGTAGTTGTCCGACATCATATTATTAATTCACAAAGCAATAAAGAGTTATATTTCAGACTGAACAAGGAGATAGGTACTGAACGGGGTCATACTATTTCACTACACATAATTTGTCATGATCTTTAACTATTTCACACCTATACAGGTGAACTAATATAATATCCTATTATAAATATGATTTCTTACATATAAAGAGCAGTTGTAACAATATGATTTATTTTCATGAACTTAAAACCTAATTTAGTATTAAATCTGTATAACCCAGGGTTGCATAAGGAAATATACTTTTACTGTATGTAGACTTTTGTGCTCTATGTACTTTTGAGCAAGAAAGGCAATTATAGGGACGCTGTAATATGCTTTCTGGCATTATGATCAATATGTACATTAACTTATTTTAAAATTATATTCAGTAATGGGAACAGTAGATTTGATAATTCATAGGAAAAAAAAAATGATTGCAGTTAACTTCTAGTCAAGTTTACATTCCAAAAGTCTCCTGCTAGACTTTGACTTACACCCCAGAGGTATTTCCTAAAATGCATAGCCATTGAGTAAAACTTTCTTTCTCATTAAATAAATAAATAAATAAATAAATAGAATGTAGGGAAACCTTAAAGCATCCATCCATCTGTCCATCCACCCATTACCTTTCCAGCAAGAGAATGTGCAGTTACTAGAATTTTTTACAATTAGTTTTCTGAGAGTCCTTTAAATGCAAACCTGTAAGAGGAAAGTAAAAACAAATCAAAGTTAATCATGACTGGCTGGAACAAAATGCTTAAATCAATATGACGACGGCTCATCTGCTCGTCATTTAGCCATTACCTGGGAGACGAGGACCTCCTGCTATGCTGATTTTTTTTTTTTTTTTTGATACATATTTACCACTGCCTTGGTTCTGCAGACACATACAAAGCCAAAGTCATTCCAGACTCCCCCTGTCATTATACTGTTTACTCTTCATATCTTATTTATTCCTGTTTGTTCTTTACATTGGATACAGAGACAAGCACATACAAACATTGGGATGTTCAAGAAGTTTAGTTAGAAGGGAGGGCAAAAGGCACCGTCTTTCATTTACAGCATCCTGGAGAAAATGGCAACACAACATAACAATTCTCCTAACAGAGAAAACCTATGTATGGAAAGATTTTCTTTAAATTAAAATGAGGGGGAATGCTGCACAACATTAATCAGCTTAGAAGTAGTTTGAAGTATTTCTTCGCCATGTACAGAAGCCAGGTTAAAACATGTTTCTAGTACAATTTTAGAAATTGAAACCTCATTGTCTGCTGTTTAATGCACCAAAAACCTAAGGATGTAAAGCACAAAACTACGGAGAAGGCATTCTGGTGGTCCCATAGACCTGATCCTTACCCTACACAGAGGAGCAGAAATCCCAAATCTGTTCACATTGGTGGTGTTTCACTAGGGTCTGACACTGGGAGCAAAATCAAACACATTGTGTGCACTATGCACTACTTTTACTTTTACATTACTTTTACTGAAAGCCACAAAACTTCCCCAGAAACATAGTCTCTGGATTCTGATGGCAACAGACTTCTGGATAGCAAAGACTACCTGGTCATAATCGTGACAGAGTAAAGCCTTTCCCTCTGGTTCTCAAACTGGAATACATAGTCATGTCTTCTTTTTGGGAGATGACCACCAAATGGGAGCCAATGCCACCTCTGGAAGAAAAGACTATTACACAATCTCAAAATAAATACACCTATTTGCATATATGAGCACTGGAGCATTGTATGCAGCCAATAATATCTCTTCCTTACACCATTAGGAATATAACATCCTACAACTCAGGCCAACCAGAATAATGGGGGGCAGGAGGTGCTGTTGTTTTGGGATATTTGTATAAATTCATGTAATCCTACAGTCAAAGCAACTCTAAGTTGATCAGAGCTGTCTAATAAGAAACCAGACTGATCACAAACACATTTATTTAATAATCAGTCTCAACTGCACTCCTCTCAGACCTGTATGTGTACAGGCTTTCTTGGATCCTGATGGCACCACGGTTACAGAAAGGCAAACTCCGAACTGAACAGCTACCGGCCCCTCCTTCTCGCTTTTCTTTTCTCAGCAGGTTAAACGTGGAAAATGCTAAAAATCCATGGGGAGGGGGTACGAAATGAAGCGTAAATAGGTATGGAAAACCTATGAGAAAACTGTTATGGAAGGTGCCTGAATGGCAAAGTGCAAAGGGTGACAAGAAGAAAATTGTGATGGCACACAAAAGGCAAGAGAATAAGAAAGATGTGATACAATAGATAGCCGGCGTTCGCCTATCAACTGCCTGGGAGCTCCTGTTCCTCCCTCCTCCCCCTCAATACGTGCATTTTTTTTGTTATGATAAAGGACATTCATGATCAGTAACAATGTTATAATGATAGTAAATGCAGGATTTAAGGTATATAAAACCTCCAGCCAGCATTAGAAAGCCACCGAGGGGGAGTTACCTTGCACTAGGTTCTATTTAGTGATGGTTCCACTCTTTCACTCCCTGACTGCAAATCAGCATTTTTAGTGGACAATAGGCTCAGCAGTGGCCTTATGATTGCCTCTTTTCAAATGGAAATGGCTATCCTAACTCCTCTGCCAGGTTTTTCTTACTAGAGCACAAATTGCAGTTTACAAGGCTCTAAGGGGAAAAAAAATCTTAGCTGAATATCTTTTTTTTATTCGACAAACTGACATGTAAATTACCCTTTAAGTGCTCCACTCTAGGGCTCTGATCATCTCCTAATTGTCACAGTCAATTGTAGCCAACAGTCTCTTCAATCCCAAGCGCTTTGACAACAAGCATAAGGATCAAAGCAGAATCAGCTCCCTTCAATATCCCTCTGTTTAGGATGCTACAAAAAGCCTGAAAAAGAAAGGTGTAAGGGCATTGCTGGAGAAGGGACTGAGAGTAGAAAGTACTACAGCAGTCATTTTCTTCTTCACTAATATTATATATCCCTATATGCTCTGTTATCCCGTGTTCAGCACAAATACATAAACATCACGGAGAATAACTGGTATAAGATGACTGATGTTTTACTACTTAGAAATAAATGCATAGTGCATTTGTGCCGTCTCCTGCATGCCCGTTCCCCCCATACACTCAGCTCTCCCCTCTGCTCTGGGAAGGAATACAACAGCAATCATTTCCTAAGCAACTTTCGTGTTTTGTTTTTTTTTTTTATTTTTCCCAAAGCAGTCCCACATTGTCTTCCAGGACAGACGGGGTGCCAAACTCCCTCCCCGATGGCAACCCATGGCGAGTTGCATTCACGGAGCCGGTGCGAGGGAGAGGAGCAGTGGGCTGTTTGTGCAGCTCTGCCTTTGCTTTCTGAAGTGCCTATAACCCAAGGTCAGGCAGAGGCTAGAGCAAAGCCCGCTCGTTCGGTTGGAATCCAACCCTCGCAACAGCCAGTTTCAGTCACATCCAAAACGGCTGGGAAGAAAGACAAGAATAAAAACAGCAGTCCTCAAAATCTGCCCAGGGAAAACGATTTGCTGCAGTTCTGAAAGGAGATTCACCTCTTATTGTATTCCCGGCCACTTTAGATGAACACAACACTGCGCTGCTTAACTTTCTGTGCTGGCTGGCTGCGTTTGATGATATGAGCTTGCTCGCTCTGCAACACACTTTCATACCCTCAGCGCCTCGCAGACGCCTCAAAGTAAGCCTTGTTGAAGTTGTTTTTCTAGGGAATAGGAGTAAGGCGGAGCTATTCTGAGTCATATTTTTACTTCTAAACTTGTACGTACTCACTGACGTAGCAGTAACTCCCACAGAGGCTCCCAAACAGCCTCTGCCGTGCAGGCTGCAGGGGAGGAATGGCACAGTGGCTGTAGGAGATGTGCTACTGGAGTGGGAAAGAGCCTGCAGGATACCAGGGAGGCAACCCAGGGATGTGCCAATCCAAAAGGATTTCCAGACACACAATCTGGCTCTGCATGGTTAGGCAACTGGGTCCTTTGGGGGTCTCCAATGAGCTTGCTGTGAAATGGGAAGGATGCAATAGACTTCATGTGCTTCCCTGGAGCTTCTGTCTCTCCCATTCCTGCAAGAGATGTTCCACAGGAGAGTCTGAAGGCCCAAAGTCCAAAAAAAAAGGGAATTTGGAGGTGAAAACCTCCTTGCTCCGTCTTAAGAAACTAATTCACTTCTTACAGCTATTGTCAAGAAACCTCCAATTGACATTTCTCAAAGACAATGCACTTTGTTGGCTCATGTAATGCTGGAGGAATGGTGGGCGAGACAGCTGGAAGCGTTCAGCAACCTGCTGCCCCCGTCTGTGTACAAGATGAGCCAAGTCAGATCCATAGGCCAGCAAAAAGCCATTCATCTGCCTAACAGGACTCCAAGGCAAGGCTTTGAGGTAGACATCTCCAAACCATCACTTATATTGAGCTCCCCAAAGAAGACCAAAATCTAAACAATGCAAGCAACAACCCTGTTTTTACAGATTTGGAGCTTGTAGGAAAGATGGCACAGATGCAACAAGGCTTCCTATAGAGCTGCTCCGTGCCCACACGCCACTCCTGCCCACGCCCACCACCGTGAGCCCCCTGTGCACGTCACAGAGCATTGCTGGGTCAGGGATGCTAAACACAGACAACAAACGAAATACAGAGTTGACGTGGAGACTGGTGAGAAAAGTCCTTTCAGTAAGGAAGGGGAACAAAAAGTCAGCATTTCTCATGGGAAAGATATTCCAAAAGCACTGATTGGGAAGCATCAAGAGCACTTGGTTGAATGATGTGGAGACAATATAGAAGGTTAATATATCATTTTATATAAATACAAAACCAAAGTGATAACATTGAAGTGAAATGTTTGTCAAGCTGTTTTATTTTCATGCTATCAAGGGGAAATATTTTAACTCTTTCCAACCAAAAATTTCTCTGAAAAAGGCATATTTTAAAGAAAACTTTCAGCTTAGTGAAACTTGCTTTCTCTGACATTTCTTCATCAGCAAATTTGCAAAAAGTTCTGTAGCTCTATATAACAGTATCTCCTCCAGACAGCTAAATCCTGAGGTGGCTCGTATTTAGATGTACAGAAAAGCTTCTTTGATATTCAACATTGCAAGGCAAACCTCATTATTTTCTAGGAAGATTGTTCCAAAACACTAGGACACCTTCCAAATGATGTCTTCCCGGTATCAGAAAACTATTCCATTGCTATTTAATTCACCAGAATTAATTTGGTATATAAAGATATTTTCACCTGCTCATTTACTCGCAAGAATACCACAAGAACTTTACAGTCACAGGAACATGATTAACTTTGTTGTTGTTGTTTAATAATAACCTATTCTTATTTAAAGAACAGAAACATATCCAAATAGCAAGAAATCAGCTAACACAGCTTGTACTATTTTCTCACCTCACCTGAAAACACATCCAAATACTTATTACATGTAACTTGCTTCCCAGCTTTGTCTGCGGAGTCGCTGCTGACAGTCTGCAGACAGATGAGTAGCACAGTAGTCTTGGATATTTTCCTTGTTTCCAGCTGCTAAATCATAATAAAGAAGGTTAAAATAATACTCTTTTCCTATCAGAACTTTTCCATGGAGATAATTGCTCTAGTGTTTGCAAACTACGGATTTCATTACCAGAAAGCAGTAGTCCACGTGACCGTGAATGGGAGGAGATAAACTCAATGAGACAATTTTCCCTTAAAATAAGACGTACATTATGGAAAAAGTTGGAAAAACCCTGCCCTGCCAGAGAACACGGACTTTTTTCCAACACAAGGATTGCACAGCACTAGAGACTGTGAGATGGACTGAGCTATTTGTTGCACGTGACCATTTCATAATCCCTGCGAGTTGCAGTTTATTATGGGGGATTGAACAATTGCCTTGCATGACTGCAACAAGGGGGAAGGTGCCATAATATTGCTCATGTGATGGAGCAGCAGGCAAGAAATTGCCTCCTCCAGCCACACCACCTGTCTGGCAAGGCACTAAGCCTGGCATTGCCTCCCACACAAAGCAGCAAGTCCTGGAGCTGCCCAGGAGTGCAGGGGCTCCTCTGGAAGTGTTACACCAGGAGGGAGTTCTGCATGCTGCTCAGCAGCATCATTTACTGATAGGATGCTGCTGCCCTTTACTACAGCCTATAACATAACCCCCCAATCTGGTTGTAAAGGGGTGGAATAATAGTGTCCATTGTGTCGCTGACATTTCTCTCGGAGGGGGTGGCTTTTCAGTAAGCAGTTATGTTTCCCTACTTAGCTCTAAACCACGGGCATGGATTTTTGCAGCCCTTACTTTTATGCTTCTGAAAAGCGAAAGGATGAAAGGTTACGCTGGGGGAGTCCAGAAGGGACAGCCAAGACGCATGCACTGATGGGATGCGAAAGTCCGTGGCCTCACAACCACTTCAGGACAATTGCAAGGTTACTGATATGACTCCTAAATCGCCAATGATTAACCACTGTGTTCTGGTCGTTAAATCCTTGTGCAGTTAGGTCTTTCAGGCACCAAAGTAAGACCGTTTCTCGCCAGGGTGCTTTGCAGGTATCCACGCTGAGTTTGCTAAGTACATGCATCGAGTCTCTACTTCTGCCAAGGCCAAAGCCATGCAAAGAGCCCTCAGAAGTGCTTGGGAAGCTGTCTGCTAAGGCTTTATCTGGGATTCGTTCTAAGAAAATCACATGCTGCTTTTTAAGTGATTATTTCTAGAAGGTGCCCAGAGGCAGAGAGGGTGGGACAGTGACCGCAGCTCCTTCTGAGCAAAGGCAGAGGTTCAAGCCACTGAATGCTCACAGCAGAGATCACAGGACTTGTGCTGCTGTAGCCAAATTTCATGCAACTGGTTGCTGTTGGGGAGAAGGAGCTCTCTTGGGTGCCTTCGCAGCTCATTAGCAGAGTTCCTACTGCAGCTAGCTCAACCACACAGCTCCCACTCTAGCCACATCCTTCTGAGCCCAGGAAAACATCACAATCCCATTTTACAGAGGAGGACACAGAGGCCGTTTTAACTCTGGGATCCAAGTCTATTAAAAGCTAATGAGAAGATGCGTTGTCCAGTGAATTCACCAAAGTCATAAAAACATGGGTTTCCGAGCCAGGGCCGCAGCACAGAAGCTCCCAGGTCCTCTGTGCTCAGGCAGTTTGCCATCACGGAGACCTTCCTGCTCTTAGCCGCTGCTTGGTCAATGCCAGGCAACTTAATTTACACTGGAGACACTGCTCACTCCCAGACTCACGCACACTATCCAGAACAAGGGCATCATTCATGGGCATCAGCATCTGAACTTGTTTGTAAAGAAAACTCTTTTAAATAATAACCAGGGAGTTACAGAGAGCACATCTAATCACAACTATTAAGAAGAACGTTGTTCAGTATTTATCAGATCAGACAGGAGTTTGCTTCAGAAAAGTGGTTTCAATAGAGGATCTTAAGTATATCCCCAGTGCTATAGTGAATGCAGATATTATTTTACAATAGCAGAATTTCTACCTATCACTGAACTGTAAATTTAATTGATGTTAAGCAAGAAGAACCACAAGAACACAACGAGTGCCCATTTCTCACAGCCTCTCTATCCTGCATGCAGTTACTTAGGGCTTATATACCACCAGTTTAGAAACATGCCTAATTGCTTATGGTCAACGTCGTACCACTGCCAGATCACACATTAAACAGATAACCACTATTATTATAAGAGCAACTTCCTTGACCTCATATTTTGGTCTGGCTCTGAATTCCTGTATTTTACCAGTTTGGTTTGTTACATTATGCCAACCTTCTGCCTGTACATGTCATTTTCTACTCCTGTAAGTGACCGGTGCAATAGAGAGCTTACTATAAAATGCATATTTGAGCACATGAATAGAATAAATTCAAGAAATGTGATCACAGTTGCTCCTGCAATGTTTTTATAAACACAGTCTCTGCTTTTTTATTATAGTTAAGGTACAGTGTGTTATTTGGCAGGGGAATCTGACTTGAAAATGTAAAAGGTTCAGGCAACCACACATTTGGAAGTAGAAATCTTTCCTTAAAACATGGCTCTGGTTTTTAAACATAGCAAAATTTCTGGAAACTTCAGTTTCTCAAAGTCTGCCAAAACTGCAGTCACATGTAACATATTCTTGGGGCTTACATATAATGTTTCAAGTAATAAACAACATCTTGTTTAGAGCAGCATGGAAAAAAAAAGGGGGGAAAGCACTCATTAGGAGTCAAAGCTCTACATCAGTACTAAAAACAAAACATGTTTCTCACAATGAAAACTCAGAATAACTTTTATGATTTATTAATAAAAGATTTATGTGCTCTTCACATCTCTAATAATTGCAGTTAAAATCATAGGTTAAATTCTTACGGCAATTAGGTAAATTATATTACAAAAGAAAGAAAATTTCATATTCATTGAAGTGCACTCAGGTTTTCAGTAACAAAATGAAGAGATATTAGCTGTAATTCAGTAACAGAATGAGCTATATATCGTACATAACTATACATTGCCAGCAGCCCTTCAATGCTTTCTGTATAACTCATTTATCATACACTTTTTATTCAGGAACAAGGCTGTATGAAAGAAAAAAAAAAATGTTGCCCATGTGAAGTCTCATCATGCAAAATATTCACAGCTTAAATATATGCACAGTCATCTCTACTAGTCAGACACCATTTCAGTCCACGCATCAGAATACATATTAACAAAATGATATTGAGACAGAAATAGCACACCGCAGCCAGCAGTGAAGTATGGGCCATAATGCCTACCTCACTGGGATCTGGTCGGGTTTAATTAATTAATGCTTATGAAGCACTATGAGCTCCTCAGATCATCACTTCAATTCATTACCACCAACATTTGTTTTGTATCCCACTTTCCCCCCTTAATTCAACAGTGAATTTCCTTCAGAAAGTGTTGCATTTACGGAGTAATGAAATGGCTGGAGTGATCTGACAGAGCTGCATTCGCAGGAGTACAGAAGGGAGCAGGACCCCTTCCCTTTCCTTTCTGTTCTTTTGGCATCAGGTCTAAGGAGAGTGTGAAGCTTCATGATGTACAATCCTTCCCCTGAGAAGCCATTCTGGACCAAAGCTATGTCAAAACACAGCAGGAAAGGTTAAAGGTAAGATGTAACATCAAAGAATTAGATATTAGTCTGGGAAACACCATCGCTCACATTCATGTTAATTAAGGATGGGTATGAGCTACAAAGTTCAGAGGAGGATATGGATACAGGCATCTAGTTCTTGCCTCATCTCTAATAATTATTAGATACATTGGCTGGAAATAGTTGGAAAGAAAATCAATAAGAGAATGAGTCAAGAAAATGAATGGCAATTTCAAATACTTACATGCATAGGATTTCACTCAAGGGCGAGACAAGATAAAATAAGTAGTCTGTATTAAAACAAAACAAAATATACTTTGATCAAAACTCCATTCAGTGGAATTTCCTTTAAGGACTTCAAAATTGGAAGGCTAGAGAACTTAACAGAAAGATTATCTGGTAAAACTCTAAGGTTGTTATAAAATTTCAGAGAAGAAACCAGATTAAGACAACAAAATTACTGGTGGAAGAAAAGTTGATAAAGAAGACTAGAATTTGATAATGGGGGAATTTAATTATTCAGATATTGATTGTTATGATAACAATGTGGAAACCAACGGAGTTTGTTTGTAGTGGCAATGCTATTAGCCCACTGAGCAACCAGTAGTTACGCTGAACCCTATACTTGGAGATAAGCATGTGTACTGTTCTAAGATTAATTTTAATTATAAAATTTAACTCTAATTACATTTAATTTTAATATAATTTAAAAGTTAATGATAGGGAGCTCAAACTTCACTATGATAAAGATCCTCATAGATGTAAGGGATAAATCAATAGAAGACATCCTTATCAAGAAAATCTTGGGAGAATCTCAAAGTAAATACTCAGGTCAAGAGAACAATTAAGGAAACCTAAGACACTCTTAGTAAGATTTCCTTTTTGAATCAGTATTAACAACAATAGAGTTCACAGAGCCAATAGGGAAAAAATGGCCAATAACACATAATAATGGCAATCTAGTAATAGTGAACCACCAAAAAGCAAATAAGCTTTATGGGGTGTATTTTGTAGATATCCTGACTTGCAAGTTCTTCATCAAAGATGGGACCTCATCTTTCAGGACTCACAAGTATAACTTCTTGTTATTTTTGTTCCTGGCATAGCAAAGCATGGGCTTAGCAGTTTATAAATGGAATTGACCTCATGCAGTCCCATGACCATAAGACTCATCTGCAGTTCCATATATTATATCTCCAATCACTGTAATACAACCAATGTACCTGGGAGCAGGTACTTAAAATCCATCCCTCTAACAGAGCTCCAGCAAGAGAAGTGAGAAGCAACCTCTGAAGCTTGGTGAAGATGTGGTCTTAATTTTTTATGCCTCCTTCAGACCAGTGTTAAAGCTGACTGTTTTTCCCACAGGCTGGACACATGCGCTTTTGTTGCCAACTTACTGCATCAAGGAAAGCACCATCAACAAATGCTGTGCTTTGCACAATGCTGCAGACGTCTCTGCCAGTGAATGTCCACTTTTGTGTCTAACCTTGGTGGAGTGGAGGCTAGGGACTCCAGGTTTCTGAGTAAGAGCTTGTGTTGTCCCCAAAAACCTTCCTGGCTTAACTGAGCGTTGTTTTGCCTAGCTCTTCCTTTGGTTTGTACAGAAGGCTCAGCTCCCTTAGATCTGATGGCCAACACATGTTTCCACCGTAGGCAAGAAAAGTGTGGACCCAAATTGGTCAAAAAAAAATCCTATCAGACTTGTTTTATCATTGGTTTAAAATGAAACAAAACAAAGACACTATTTTTCATGGAAACTAATCTTCTTTCAGGGTAAAATGCAATTTTCATGGGGAGAGAAAAAAATAGAAATATCAATTTTGTTTTTCTTGTGGGAAAAAAAAAAGTTTTTTTGAAACACCATCACAGTGCCTCACAGCTTATTCCTTTCTATGATTTATAAACCAGATTACAATTTGTGAAATATCATCGCACCTCAATAGAGACCTGGACACTTCAGAAAGCAGAACCCTCTTTTTCCAATAAGAACTAGATTTTTAAACACCTGCTTTTTTTGGCCTTAAATTTTTAGTTTGGTTTCAGCCTGAGGAGAGGGGCTACTTCCTCTCTAAGATGTTAGTTTTACAATCAAACTAAGCATAGCACTTTTAACTGCATTTACCAAAAATTGCCAGATTCAGCATTGCAATGGAAGGACCTACAGATCAACAAGCTGATATGTGAACAGAAAACTGGAAACGATAATAAACTTTGTAAAATAATGGAAAATTAAAGCAAAGAAACTACTAATCTGCTACAAAATAGTATATAGTGCATATAAGACATTAAGAATTATTTTGGCAACAGCAAATAAAAATATACTTCTTGAGCTAGAGAGATCCATAAGAAATGTGAATAGATATCTGTGATAAATCAGAAATGTTAAGAAGCATCCCAACAGTAATTCTGATAGCTTGGCACAGAAGTAAAGCAAATACATTGCATAAGGGTTAACTCCGCATCTCACATAAATCAAGTTAACACCATTTAAGTTAGCAAAATTTATTCAAAGTCAAATTCATTTACTGTAGCCAAAGATCTGTCCCTAATTGTATCCTTCGCATTTTATACTGCATTAACTATTTTAACGTATTCAGCTTTAAAGCCCAATGTACTTCAATATAAACTCCATTACATATACATATATACACTTTTGTGTACATATGCACATGCAGAGGAATACATACATATAAAATACTTTTAAATCGTAATATAAACAAATTAACATAACACAATTCGTAGCTATGAAGAATAGACTAGGAGCAGTTTTACAGGATTTAGTGGGGAAACATGCTGAAAATCCTAATTTGAGTAGAGTCAACCAATGTGGATTTAGGGCAGGAAATCTTGCTCAAATAATTTGTTGGAATTGTAAAGATATCACTGCCAAGGTAGGCAAGGAAAATAGTATAGGTGGTATATAATATGCCTAGACTTTCTTGAGAGTGTTTGATAAGATCCTACACTGGAGATTACCAGCAAGGTACAGAGCCACTGTGTAAATGATAACAAACTTTAATGAACTGATAACAGTAGGAAAACAGCATTCATTGAATGACTTCGAGATTGGCAGTCAATACAGGATAGTGCTTTGGTCAGGTTAGGAGCTTGTCTTGTCTCTAATCTATGCAAAAGAATTAAATCAGAATATCAAAGGTAACATATCAAAATATGCCGGGGACATGAGTTACAGTAGCAACAACTGCCTGAATGCAAGATCCAGATCACCAACACATGCAGCATCAGCACCACCAGGAACACTGCTGGGCTGGAGCACAGAGCTGATAGAGCAAAGTAAACAGGCTTGTTTGACGCAGAGAAAATGTGAAAGCGTGCACCAGCTGGGGAGAAGGGTGGAAAGAAACGATGGAGGGATGCCATGCAAAGGGAAGAGGGGAGAGCAAGCAAGAGCTCAGGCAGAAACTGGAATTCCAGGAAAAGGGAGGAATAGAATAAATAGGATGTTGCTCTGTTTGTTTGTTTGTTTTTAGCTTTGAGTTAGGAGCTTGAAAAATTAGAAATTAAAAAAAAAAAAAAAAAAATCCAGATTATTATTATTAATTAGGAAAAAAAAAAAAAAAAAATATCTATTGCAATTTAATGGGTAAGTACCTGGGTAAGACTTTTTAACCCAGGGATGGTGCTATCACGAGAATCAGATAACAAAGCTAATCCTCCTTCCTTTGCACCCAAGCCCCATGTAGTTTTGAAGCACTGTCGGTCCCTTTCTGCCCCCAGGGTGATATGGACCTGTCTGGGGTAGCTTAGCATAGGCAGGAGACTGGAGGCAGGACAAAAAGCCTGAGGGCTTATTTCTGTGCCACCATGTCTCAGGTCTAAAGTGAAGACCCTTAACAGCCCTCATTTTTTTCCTAATGGTATAGGTTATTTTTTTCCCCTCATGATAATAACACAGAATTTCACCAGATATATATATAAAAAAAAAAAAAACAGCATCAGTTAAGAAAGGGCAGTGTTGACTACTTTTCTCAAGTTATACTTCCATGGTGTTTCAAACAACTTGTCTAACATTACAGACAATTTCTGTTGGTTTTACTGCCATGTCTACTTCATTTATTTTAGCAGAACATCTTTCAAGAGTATGACCAAAAAAAAAAAAAAAAAAAAAAAAAAAAAAGATTTGGCCTTGTGAGCATTGATCAGAACTGTACAAAGACTAAAACTTCTGCTCATTATACATATTTTTAACCAATTAATCTCTTTATGCGAGAAACCTCAGAAAAAAAAAAAGTAGTCTGACATTGTGGTAGTTGCTATGCTAATTTCAGATTTCAGTGATACAGTACATTTAGATGGGGAATGGGAAATCCAAGGATTTTAGCTGTGGGTGTTTACAGTGCAACAAATGCCAAGGGAGATGTCTCCCATCCCTCACTCCCATGAGCTCAGTGTCAGAACAACACTGTCTGGGATTCTTGCATTTTCAAATCATTTTTGGATCACCAACTCTCTGGTAAGTTTGGACTCAAACCCCCAGATTAAAAGGCAAATATTTTAGCATATTTTACAGGTGTTGTTTTTTTTTTTCTGAATCACTGTGGATCCTGATTTGAACTTGCTGTGCCACTTTGGTACTGTATACTGATTTTTCTCCAGCTGGATGTCCGTGGCTTCCCTTCTCAGAACTGTTTCCTCACCTGCCTGAAACTAATAGATATTTTTCTTCTGGTTCCAAGTTTCTCAGAGTTCTTTGTCCACCCTCTGCTGCCATCTTAGTTCCTGAATAAAACCTCAGCATTTCTCAATAGGGTGGAGAATTTCTTCCCCTAAACAATCTCTAGTTGCAACGCTTCTTTTATTTTCAGATCAAACGTTAAACCAGACAAAAATCTCCTATTCATCATATAAGTGCATTGCTGTTCTAAAAAAGAGAGTGTAGCTAGATACCAGAAATAATTGTTCCCATACTAGTTTTCTGTGATTTCAACACTTAAACAACAAACTTTCTTGATCTCACACCACAGCAACCTACTTTGCCTGCTTCCTTCACTTACACTTTACCCTGAGTATTTTTGTTTCACCACCATTTTGCTCTTTGAAATTTCAAAATCACAAGGGTTTACTTGTGACTTGTCTCTTTCCCCATGTTTGTTTTCAGATCTCTAATGACATTCTCCTTTGAGTTGCCTCAGAGGAAGGGGAAAACCCATTTTTTTAAATGTTGGCATTCTGAAGAAGCATCTGTATGCTAATTTGCTCTCAACTTTGCTAGCAGAATATTTAAAGGGAGATAGTTTTGAATAAATGAAGACCAGTTAGCAGTTAG